CGATCCTCCTGCCTCAGCCTCCCAAGTGCTGGGATTACAGGTGTGTGCCACCACGCCCAACTGATGTATGACCTTTTAAATGACTTTTCCAACTATGTTCATTAGAGACTGTGGTTTTTTCAGTTGAGTCCTTGTCAGTTTTGGAATCAGGGAATGCTACCTTCCAGGAATGACTTTGAAAATACTCCCACCCTTTCAATTTCATTGAAGTGTTTGATGAGTACTGATGTTATATCCTCCCCCAAAGTCTTTGTAGATTCAGGAGGAAATCCATCAGGTCTCAGCTTTTCTCAGATGGTAGGGTTTTTATGAGTCATAATTTTGTTGTCTCTTATGGGATTGTTCAGGGTTTTTGTTTCCTTGATTCAATTTTGGTACTTCAGATATGTCTAGAAATCTCTCCATTTATTCTATATTTTCTGGACTACATATTTTTCATAGTAGATACTAATGATCTACTGGATTTTGGTAGTGTCCATTATTTTTACCTTTTTCTTTTCTAACTGCATTAATACAGGTTTGTTCTTTCCTTTGATTTTTGTTTATTTAAGACAGTGTCTCATTATATATTCTCACTGGCCTTGGACAAAATACATACCCCAGGCTGGTCTTGAATTTGCAATGATCCTCTTGAGTGCTGGGATTACAGGTGTGGAACACCACACCTGGATTTTTCTTTTGGTGAATTTTGCAAAATGTTTGTCTATTTTGTTTATTCTTTTGAAGAACCAGCTCCCTGATTCATTGATTCTTTGCAGTTTTTTTCATTCAATTTAATTTCTGCTCTGTTTTTTTTCCCCTTCCTTCCTTGTATTAGTTTTCAGTTTGGATTATTCTTGTCTGTCTAGGACCTTGAGGTTCATCACTAGGTTATGCATTTGGACTCAACTCTGTTTTCCTGATTGAGGCATTCACAGTTGTAAGCTTCTCTGTCTGGACTCCTTTCATTGTGCCTCATTGGTTCTGGTGCATTTTTCCTGGCACGGTCACTAATTCTAGGAATGGTTCAATTTCTCCTTTGATTCACTAAGTATTCAGGAGTGTATTATTTAATGTCTACCTGTTTATAAAATTTCTGTGGTTTCTGCTGACTTCTAGTTTTAGTGTTCTATGAACTTATGATACACCTGAGATAATTTCTACTCTTTTGCATTTAAGCAGATTTTGTGGACTAATTTTGGAGAAAGTTCTGTATGCTGAGGATGTCTTTTGTTATAGTAGAGTAAAACACATCTACCAAGTCCATTTTTTTGATGGTGTGGTTATTTCTTTGTTAATTTTGTTTAGTTGATGTGTTTGCAAAGTTGGGGTATTGAAGTTTATATTGTGTTGGTGTTTATTTGGTGTTTTGTTAGCAGTAGTGTTTGTTTTATTAAGCTGGTTGCACCAGCATTTTTGTGGCTATATATTTACAACTGTTATGTCTTCCAGTTGAACTGTTCCCTTACTAATATGCAGTGACCTTCTTTGCCTCTTCTGATGAATTTTAGCTTGAAGTCTATGTCTGAGAATAAGACTATTACCTCTCTTTGTTTTGGGGTTATCTTGGTGCATGGAAAATTGTTTTGTACCCTCTGAACAGAAGCTCTGGAGGCACTGTGTCGCATTCTTTTGCCATGTTTTTTCTTTTGTGCTGAGAGATGATATCAAAAAGAGAATAGATACTTTATTGTTGGTATGACGAACTCTTTAGTTACTTTCTGTTTTCCTGTGGTATGATCTTGTCTATTCAGTTCAATTAGATCAGAACCAGTCACTCTCTTGTAGGGAGAATTTCTACTGGATATAACAGTGTTCACATAGCCAACCATCAATGATATACTTTACAACTTGTTTTTACAATTTTGCTCATTTATTAGTGCCCTTTCAGACTATACTGCTATTAGCAGTTAATCGGGATGTAGAGGGAGAAGGAAAGAGAAAAGGGAGTAAGTCAGTAAGAGGAAAGAGAGGTAAAATACTTGTTAGTAGGTAAAAAATAGTACCTCAAACTCAGAGGTATTTTTATAGGGTTATAAAGGGTTAATGCTGAGAGGCTTTAAGAGGATAATTTTGAAGGTGGGAAGAAGATTGCAGAGGAGAGAAATGTAATAAGAAATTGAGGGAAGCTGTAAAGTTGTCAGTACCATTAATATATTTGTTGTCAGTTTTGTTTGGCTCCTCTAACCACAATTCTATGAAGGGTTACCTAATATATGGGTGAACAGTACCACTCAAAGCACTGATCTATTTTTTTCTTTTGTCCACATATAGGTACCTGCTAAATATATACTCTATGAAAAGTAGAGAAGAAGGAAAGACAAAGGAATACAGAAAATGAGGAAGAACAAAGAAAAAAGAATAAAGAGGAAAGTTTAAAAGAGAAAAGCTAAAGAAAGATCTAGAGAGAACAGAATAAAGGAAAAGTACTTAAAGCCTGTGGTCTGCTTTACTACCTCCCGCCTGTGGTGTGGGTTGCCTGCTTGCACCCACTGCCTGGTTGCAAACTGTGATTTGGGTGTGGCCAAGTGCAGACCCTTGTCTCTGGTCCAGACTTGACAACCTCAATTAATTTGGGAAGAAAAGGACTGTGAAGGATAACTGGTTCTCCAGCAACTCCTGCTATCCTTGCTACTGGGCAAATGTAGAGGGAGCCTTCTGGACAAATCCCTGCAAGGGCCTTCTGTCCAGTATATCCTCAGAAACACTCTTCCCTGGGCAACTCCCTCTTCCTTTGTGCTCATATCTTAATCTATCTGTAACCCAAAAGCACTGCTTTCCAACTGAAAGAAGTTGGTGCAGACCCCACGCTTGGCAGAGGGTCTTCCTTTGCCCATGCTGGATGGTGAGTGTTGGGACAGGATTTAAACTGCCTTGAATCTTACTCAAATTTGGGAAAATAAAAGGAAAGCACTCGCTCTGGACTGGCTCAACTGATTCTGTTCACCTTCCATGCACCTCCAGGGATGTGATTCATAGTAGATTCCTGCCACTGAGCTTTAAGGTGCCCACAGGTTAGAGTGTTCAGCCTCCCTCTGCCTGGGGCTAGGGCTTCCTGTGTAGACACTGGGTGGTGGGTAGGATGCTCCAGGGACACAGTATTTCCTGGTGTTTAGGAGGATAACAGAGAGATTGCCTGCTTTTGTGTTGCTGTCTCTCCTTTTCTCTGATTACAGTCTGAAGTGTCCCTAGAGCCCCAAAAGCAGTTTATTCCCACCCTAGGCTTCCTTTACTAGGAGAAGGGAGATTATGTAGGGAGCTAGCAGCACTGTCTCCTTCCCTTATGCTATTAGAACCACTTCTATGGCCTTGCTTTGCTGGATAAAGGAGCAACCCTGCCCCCAGCCATTGGTGGGCCTGCTTTTTCAATAACCCAGGTATTTGTTTCTATCTAGAGGATTCCTCATTCAGGTTAATTTTACATAAATGGGTATGACTGTTCTCCACACTTCGGAACACCTGTATTACCTAGTATCTCTCTTTGGAGTTTCTCCAATGTACTTCTCTAGTCAGCCATGTTGGGATCCTTTTTCTAATTTCATTTTGAGACAGGGTCTCATTAAGTCACTGACTGCTCAGTTTAACCACAGACTTTAAGAGGCATTTAAAATATCTTTGTACAAAGTTACAGAAGACAAGATAAATCATGTATTGTCAAGCTATGTAGATGATTATTCTTCCATAATGGAGAATTGTTTTGTTTCACTTAAACAATAGAAAAAAACTAAACTTATCCAAGTGTGGGAGCACATGCATAAAATCCCAGCTACTTGGGAGACTGAAGCAAGAGGATCAAAAGATTGAAGCTAACTTGGGAAACTTAGCAAGATTCTGTCTCAAAATAAAACAAAAAAGGCTGGTAATGTAGCTCAGTAACAGAGTGCTTCCTAGCATAACCAAGGCTCTGGTTTAATCCCCAGTAGTACAGAGGAAAAAGGTAAAACACTCCAAAATTTCCACTATGAGTTTGAAGATATTTAGGCACATTTCATCATGGTTCCATAGTGGCATGAATAGTCTATTTCAAGATCCTCATGTTTGATAGCAGTAGAAACTATGATGTTTCATACATGTTAGATTATTTGGCTATACACAAAATACTAAACAAGTACTTGTCACAGAATTTTTTTGAAAGTTCACATCATATGAATCATACTGACAATCATTAAACATTCATACTTACCCAAGATTCGTGGTATAATACTGTCAGTAGATACATTGCATAATCATAGTTCTGTCTCTTTAAGGGGCATCTTTAAAAGAAAAAAAGAAGTCACAATTGTAGAAATTCTCAGTATACAGAAGAATTTGCAAAACATACAATATATTACCAGGAATTCTGTTTTTAGGAAAACTCTACATATTTCATAACTTAGGGATACCGAACACTGGTATTTATTTTTGATTTCATTACTAAGGGAGTTATTTATGATAATAGTCGCATGGTATTTTTAACATGACAGTGGTCAATCAAGTTCCCTTTACCAACTCAGTGCTAAGAGTATCTAATGACTTCACTTAAAAACAAGTTGGGGAATGAAACACAAAAATAGGCAAACTGTACACTGTGTTGTGTGACTGTAGCTCCAGCTACTTGGGAAGCTGAGGCAGGAGAATCACATAAATTCAGGAGTTGACAGCCTGGACAACATATTGAGACTGTCTCCAAAAGGGTAAAAGGCGTGGGGATGGCAAAAAAAAGACATGCCAGGTGCATGCCATACTTGCAATCTTGGAAATGAGGGAGGCTCTGGTAGAAGGATCACAACTCAAGTCCTGCCAGGATAACTTAACAAGACCCTGTATGAAAATAAAAAAATAAAAAGGGCTAGGAATCTAAAGTTTAATCTTTACTCCACCAGAACTGATTCTTCTAAAAATAAGCTATACTATACACAACACTATGTGCAATATTTAAAATGGAACTAATATCCTAATATTTGTTAAACATCTCCAAATATATGAAGTGGCATATTAAGGTTTTATGATAGTAAAATAATACAAAGAAAGAAGTAAACTGCTAACTTCTTTAAATATTAAATAAAACAATTACATGACAAATGACTTTAACTATACTGTTTATTCTTAAGTTTCTTTATTAGTCCACTTGTGCTGGGCATGATGGCACACACCTGTAGTTCCAGCAACTGAAAGACTGAGGCAGAAGGATCCCCCTAAATTCAAGGACAGTCTGAATTACATAGGGAGATCCTGTCTCAAAACAACAAAAGTCCTCTTGTGTTTAGTTAATAGTCCTCTGCTCAATAAATAGTTACCATAAAAGATAAACATACTGATAATCCTTTGTCTTGAAAAAAGGCAACATCAGACACAAAGTTTCAAATAATAACATTTTAAAGGTATTTTAAAGTCAGAAAAAAGTAAAAAATCAGTATTATCTGGCATTTTCTAAAGACAGTAAAAGGACTACTCCTAACATATTTCTAAATCTATTTCTTCTATAAGGTAACAATCTTAAGCTATGGTGCCTATGTTTTTCTTGCCTCTACACCACTGCCATAGCATGTACACACTCCTTTTTTCTACTCATGATGAAGACTTCATCAATCTGAACACTTCCAAATGCTTTGGAACTGGCTTAGGCGGGGGAAAGAGACGTGCTGACTCATTTTTCAGTAAAGTCAGGTCTTTTACATTCTGACAATTTAAAAACAACTAAAATATCACCTAAAAATAAAAGATTTAGTAAAAACATGCCAGCAATCCTTTTTTAAATCAAATGAAAATAATCTAATTTGTAAATTCATAAATACAGTTAATATTTTTTGAAACTTCTATCTTAGCTCTAAAATTTTGCTTAAATACAAGAGCCTTGATAAAGTTCCACATATATAATTTAATAATTTTAATCTTGAACTACAAGATTTACACGTTTTATAAAAATCTGTTTAAAGGAAAATTTACTCTATTTTATTGAATAAGATACTGCGTGATTCCAGAATCACAAAGCCAATTAAGGAAACAAAAACCTCATCTATATAAGCAATAATCACTAGAAAAGCATATTTTTGTCTTCTAACATCTTCCAAATTTTATACGCATGGATATATGAAAATCAATATTAAAAATAACAATAAAAATCTTGGCATGGTGGTACATACCTATAATCACAGCACTTGTGAGGCTAAGAAAAATCATGAGTTCAAGGCCAGTCTGGACTACAATGAGACAGTCTCAAAAACAAAACAAACAAAAAACAAACAAACCCGCAAAACCAACAAACCAAAACAGTAACTCAGAATCCTCCCTGCATACATAAAAAGAACAGCAAAAAAGTAGGTTGCGTGAGGATACTAAAACTTAATCAGAAAACTTCACATAAGTTGACATAATAAAAGGCTACTTCTATTGTCAATATAATTTCTTTAAAAAGGGTTAACAGGGAATTAGAGAGAATAAAGAAGCACATGGCCAGTCCGTTCGATTTTTTATTCTTTACCTATCTGTTTTGATGGTGAGTACATCTGTAGTCTTACAGTATCGTTCTCCTACAAGTTTAATCAATTTCTTCTTTGCATGATCATCTAAATTCAAACTGGAAAGTTTCACCTTAAAAATATAAGAAACAAATCACATCACATAATTTGTTTAAAGAAAAAGGTAGCAATGTTATCTATAATAAATTTCAACCATGGAAATATGAGACCTGTAGCACTGCAATTGGTTCAGGCCATTTATTTTATAAAAGCTACAGGTATCTCTTGTAGATTGGAATATTGCATTAGCGAAGGGTCAAAGTGTTTGATGTAATTCAGCTCAACCTTTTCCAAAAATTAACACTAGCTTCACAGGCTGGTTTTTTTTTGTAAAATGGTTATTTCTGTTTAATACATTTAGGATATACTGAGTTAAAGTGAATTCTTTTTTTTTTTTTTTTTTTTTTTGGTACCAGGGATCGAACTCAGGTCCTTGCGCTTGTGAGGCAGGCTCCGGAACCACTGAGCTAAATCCCCAGCCCTAATGTGAATTCTTTACAGTAATATTTCTTAGAGTACTTTGGAAAATTGATATGTAAATGATCCTCAAATTTATTGGACCCTACATTCCACTTCCAAGTTCATGAAATTAGTCATCCTGAAGACATACTTTGGGCAATAATCAGATTAATACATTTTAAAATCTGCTTATAACTGTGACATGGGCTGAAAGTACTGTGTGCACTGATAAATAGGTCTGATTCTAGGATACAGTTAAAGCATTTTATTAGACCAGTTTTGGTTATCACAATGAAATACTAAAGCTGGGAAACTTTTTTATTTTTGGTACTGGGGAACGAAGTCCAGTCCTTATACTTGCAAGGAAGATGGTGTAGACCACTGAGCCAAATCCCTGGCCTGGAAACTTTTTTAGGGGGCATTTTTTGAGACAGGGTCTCACTATGTAGTTGAGACTGCCCTGGAACTCACTATGTAGTCCAGGCTGGTCTCGAACTCACAGCAATCCTCCTGCCTCAGCCTCCCGAGTGCTGGGATTACAGGCGTGCGCCACCATGCCCAGCAACTGGAAACTTTTAAAAATATATTTTATTTTATTTTATCCCATTTTCCCCCTCAAACCTTCTCCCCTCCCTATGTACAAAAGCTTTGTTTCCATTTTTTAACTTTTATTTTCACTTTTTTTCTTGTCCCTTAAAGCTGGAAAACTTTGTAAAGAGGTTAATTTATCACACAGTTCTGGAGGGTCAAGGACATGGCACTAGTATCAAAATGACAAAAGTGTGTACACAAGCATCATAAGAAAGGAAGCCGCAGAGCCAAGGTTGAGGCTCACTTTTGTAGCAACTTGCTTTCTAGAGAAATAACTCAGGGTCCCTTAATCCCTTCCAATGGCCTAAAGATCGCCCACTAGTCCACCCATCCTCCCAACACAACTCTGAGGAGTACGATTCCAACACATAAATCCTTAGGAAGAATTCAAACCATTCCAAATCATAGCAACAACAGATTAATTTTCCAGAGGAAGAATTAAGAACAAGAAAGAATGCCTAAAGAAGAAAAAAGGCTACATCAGAGTTTGAAGTCAATCCCATCTCCTTCTAGTCTTTAGCTTCAGAAACCTTGCACTTCCCTCAGGACATAATAGCACAGTAGCCCATTTATTTTAAGCATTTTCTCCACTGAGTTGCAAACTTCCAAAGGAAAGCAAATGTTTAGTTTCTTTTTGGCAATGGCCTAGCACTTAAAAGGCATTCAATATTTGCTGAATGAATACATAAATTTTAAAAAGTTCCAGATATGGTGGCACACACCTGAAAACCACCACTTCAGGAGGCCTGAGGCTGGAGGGTCACACTATTGTAGATAGCTAAGTGATATATTATAGGTTAGACAGGGTCACGTCCTCGAGGGAGCCAGCACAGAAGACAACTATGGCTGCAGACATATTCACTGAAGGTCAGGCTTTAAGAAGAGAAGGACTACATCCACATACTTCCCCTAGGGATGTACAGCAGTGACTGACAGTCTAAAGAGGTATCAATCACCTGGACGGGGACAGAAACCTTAATCCATCCCTTCCAGGAAAGGTTCCTGACCCATCCATTTCCAGAAAACCCCATGCATTCTATGTATGCTTGCTACATGACTTGCTTCCCAGTTTATCCTGATTTAATCAATATTACCTAAGTGACTATACTTCTAATCTTACTGGCTGACCCTAGTTTTGTCCCACCTCATACCCACCTTGTGATTCTCCACTGGATTAATATTACCTGTGACTATACTTGTAATCTTATTAGATGATTATAGTTCTGCCCCACTCTGTACCTGCTTCAACTCATGGCTCTTTGCTCAGGAAAACACCCCTGAAAAGCAGGATCTCCAGCAACCCACTTGGGATTCCTTCTGTCTCTCTTTCAGACAGAAACTATCTTCCTCTCAATAAGCTCTTCCTACTCAACCTCTGTTGTTCCTAGAATTCATTCTTCAATTTTAGAGAACATGAAGTTGGTGTGTCCAGACATGTAGTAGTTGCGAGTCATAAATATTTCTCAGGTATCAGCAAGTTTGAGCCCAGCCTGGGTAACTTACCATGATTCTATTTCAAAATACAAAACAAAAAAGGTCTGAGGATTTAGCTTAGGGTGAAGGTCCTGGATGAAAGAAAAAAAGAAAAGACGGCCAGGGATTTACCTCATTGGCACCGTGCCCACCTTGCAAGCACAAGGTCCTGAGTTTGATCCCTGTACCAAAAAAAGGGGAGGGAGGGCAGGAGAGAGAAGTATATTGCTTCTAAAAAGCATAGTTTGTTTGTTTTTTAATTTTGAGACCTACAAAATAGCAAATAAATAAATACAAATAAACTCTTAAGAAGAACACAGGTATAAGAATATTGACTTTAAGTATCAATCAAATACCATATTCACATGCTGCAGACAATACAAACTACCACCATCCTCTGGGAAAAACATGTATCAACAATCAGGTTATTAGTCTGATAGATAAAATAACCTGTTTTCTAACTCACAATATAGTGCAGAATTACTTTCCAAAAAATAACAAGATGTACCTGTATTATTATGATTGTGTAAATATATGGACACATGTACATAAATAACATATAAAAATGAATAGTTTCTGTATTAGGATAGTGATTTTTTTTCCTTTTTAAAAAATTCTTCAATGAAATAATAACACTTAATAATGCATTTATATTTTTTAATAATAATGTAAATGTTCTAGCTTTTCATGCAAGAGGTGATTAAAAAAGTGGCAGCAATAGCAATGGCTTGAAAACTCCAATTCACATTAACATTTAATGTCCAAAACCCAATTAGAACTTATGCCAGAAACAGAAACAGTTGTTTGGCACACACATGCCACCTTTTGAAGACACTGCAAAACTGTAGCCCTTAACCTCGATTGACTTCAAGGTTGCAAAGGCAGTCTTTCACCAAAATTCAAAAAAAATCCTTAGATTTTTTTTTTTGTTAAGTTGTAATTTTTCAAATAGATACTATGCTACTAATATCATTCCCAAAATAATGTTGACATTTCAAATTACAGGATGTGTGGTTGTGTCTATCTTCAACTGCCTGTATTTTATTTTATTTTTTGGTACCGGGGATTGAACTCGGGTCCTTGCGCTTGCAAGGCAGGCCACCGAACCGCTGAGCTAAATCGAACTGCCTGTATTTTATTTTATTTTTTGGTACCGGGGATTGAACTCGGGTCCTTGCGCTTGCAAGGCAGGCCACCGAACCGCTGAGCTAAATCGAACTGCCTGTATTTTAACACAAAAACAAATACATAAGTGAAGAAATGTGTACATATGTGAAATATTTTTCTTACACGTAAATACGGTACGGTTAAAGGACATTGGACGTTCCACAAAAATCTCGGTTAGCTTTGCCACTGCATGTGACCTAAAAGAAATCATTTTGTCTTCCTGAGATTCAGTTTCTCCAGAACAACTTAATTCACAGCACTTTTTTCAGAAATAAATGAGACTTGGTCCAGGGATTTGGCGCAGTGGTTCTGCTGCCTGCCTTGCGAGTGCAAGGGCCCAAGTTCAATCCCCAGTATCAAAAAAATTTTTTAAAAGAAAGAAATGAGACTTAAGGAAGAAGGCACTTTTAAAGTAAAGTCTTATATAAGCTAAGTGTCCCTCATATCCTGGTACTGGCACTGAACCTGGAGCCTTCACACTGAGCTATGTTCTCAGCCCATTTTTTAATTCTTTGAGACAGAGTCTTGCTAAATTGCCAGGCTGGGGTGAACTTGCAGTCCTCCTGCCACAGCCTCTGAGCGCATTGACATGTCAGGCAGGCCCCAATATGCCCAGCCATAAATTGTTTTTAATTCCCAACTACTTTTATAACCAAAGAGAAAATAGTATCACTTTACTTGTCTGAATTTTAAAATCTGAGTATCTCTAAATAGTATTTTAATACTATTTGTTACCATCACTGTTACCTTAGTCCTGCTTTACCCTTACCTACACGATACCACCCATGACACCTACACTGAGCCTTGACAGACAGCTAAGAGACTGGACAAAGACTATAAAAGCAGATGTAAGTTACGCAGCAGAGCTACAACAGAGTAATGAAGGATTTTAGATTGGCAAGAAACAGGACAGGATGGAAGGAAACATGATATAAAAAGTGACTCCTGCAGAGATTAAAAATGGCAGAGTAGAGACGAGTAGCAAAATTCAGCCTCTCTGGGACCTGGAACTGAGATATTTTGATAACAGAGAAATACAATACAACACACAGAAAAGAATGAAGCATCCAGAAAGCTCACCTTGACTCTCAGAGAGGGGAACCTGTCTTTGTTGATGCGAGGTAAACTTGGAGAGGGCTGGCAGCTCCAGGGAGAAAGAACTGCCAGGGCCAACTGGCCCCAAGAAAAGCCCACCAAATATTGTAAAATGCAACAACAAATGGGGTTTTACCCCAAAAGTGATTTCTGCATGCAGGTTAGAGTTGAAAAAACAATTCCAGTGCACCACACACTGGGTTTAATCAGGACCCATTCTGGAAAAGAGCTGACTGTCGACTAGACAACTATATTACAGAATTTCCTGTTACCCTGTGTCTTGGTTAC